GGCGCTGGCTTCGTTGGCTGTTACTAGTCCAGGAGGTACTCATCGCCTCGAGTTTTCGCCAGCTGGATTGAAACCATGGTTAGAGATGATCATGTTGGGGTGGCTTACCCGCGTAGAATAGCTATTTAAGTTTATTCCTCCCTTTCTTTGTACCAAAAAAAAAAAATTTATGTTGGTGGTTAGACATGACCAGTCAACGAGCCGGCCCGCCCGTCAAAAACAAAGGACCAGGTCCGTTGAACCGGCTCAGTCTCAGACCGGTCTCAGACCATCGGGACAAAATAAAGGGACCCAGAAACGACCCGTAAAGCCATAGGCTGGGACGGGGCTGGGGTCGGGACGCCGGTCGGCCATGTCTAGGTGGTTTGGTTGGTAAATTAATTGTTAATGATGCTTTGATTGTTTTTATTATTATTTTATAAAGGTAGCTCTTGAGTTGTCTCTGTCTGCTTGAATTTGTACCTCAAAACATACTTATGGTCGGCTTCAAGTACAGTTAATTAGTTTGATTCCATTATTAATAGAATTCGAAGTGTAGTGTGTGAAATTGAAAAGTTATGAAGTGTAGTGTGTGAAATTGAAAAGTTATGGGTATGTAGTATGTACTGTTGGCAAATTTACTCAAGCATTAAGGGAAATGCTACAATTCTGTTACGGGATGATTCCGTGGTCTTTTGTACCCGTAGATATGTGTAATCTAGTAATGTGTAAATAATCTACGATTAAAAAATACAACGGCACCATCCCGTAACAGGATGGTAGCAGTCTCCAAAAAAAAATGTTATAGGTGAATGATAATTATTTTTTTATTAGTTATAACGCTTCAAGGAGGCCTAGGAGCATCTCCAACATGCTCTCTTAAAAACCATCTCCAACCGGCTCTCTTCATTTGCCGGAAACAACACTCTTGATTTTGTGAAATGTTGCCACACCGTTCCACTGTTCACCCTCTTAAACTTTTTCTTTTATTTATTTATTCATTTGCTTTTGCTCAAAATGAATTTGGGTTGTATTTTGGGCTTATTTAGATATATTGTGGTTGGACTTTTTTTTTTTTTTAACTACAAGTGGGCTAATTGAATTAATTAGTTTTATTGGTTGAATTAAAATATTTTAAACTTAATTATTGTAATTAATATGGTAGAATTTTAAGTAGTGTAATGAAAAATTGAATACTTTATTAATTAATATGATAGAATACTAATAGTATTTAAATTCACTTAAATAAATATGTCAAACAAACGAGTTAAAAATACAAAATATGGATAAACATTCAACTCACTTAAAACTAACGGTTCAAACATTAAATTTAAAATCACAACATAAAGATAAACTGACTAAAAAAACTCATTCTTAAAGTCCACACATACTATAACAGCGATAATTAATATGGAATATAAAAAACTAAAAAGGTTTATAAAATAGACGATTTCATAGAATGAATTATCACCGTTATAATCTTTCAAATTTCCTCCATTATGCCCGATGTCGTCAAGAAATCTAAATGGACTCGTGTTAGATGATTGGATGTTGTCTGAGATTGTTGTTGCTCATTTTCTCTTTCATGTAAAATTTGCATTTGTTTTTGTTCCCAGTGTAAACGTATCATGAGATTCGTAAGAGAATTCAAATCTATCATCAAAATTCTATCTTCATCCCTCTTTTTTCTGAAAATTAAGTTGTTGTTTTCCAATTGAAGTTGAACACTTGACGTTCATCGACCTTCTGCAACAAATCAACATTAGTATCACTTTTAGTAATTAGAGTACTAAAATATTGACAAAATTGGTCTTCATTTTTCTTCTTCAATTTTGCTTTCTTCGCTTCCATTGGACATTGAGAGGATGTTCCCCCAACACCATCGTCACTTTGTTGAAAATCAAAAGATGACAATCCCAGAGACTCTGGTGTTGGTTGTCCATCATATGGAATGTCGGACTCGGAAGAGTCATTGAATGTATCGAAACACCGACATTGAGATCGTGGTTGGGAGACATTATCATCAAATTTTCCAAATTCTTTGAATAATCGGAACACGTGTTGGAACTTGGAGCCTTCTTTATATTTTGGGACTTGTTCAAACGATCGTTCAACTTGCTCAATCTACGAACAAAGTAAAATTATATAATTGTAAGTATAACTATAAAACAAACAAATAATATGAACCGAGGTTGAACTTATAACAAAATAGTCACACTATCTTGGACTAAGATTGCGACATTTGATTTGCTTCAAGCATCCATTAAACCTCCGACAATGAGTTATCATGAGACGGTAATGAGAGTCAAGAGACCTTATAGAGCGTTCTAATAAATCACTGTGTTTTCGGGAGTTAAATTCATCATGTATTTGTTTCTAAAAAGTTGACGAACTTTGGTCATTTGATGATATTGGATTATGTGAAACACTTGTGTAACATCTCACAATTAAGACATCTTCTGGTTTTGAATATTTTGGCCCTTTTGAAGAAGATATTTTGAAGAAAATAAGATATTCAAGAAGAGTATGAACTAATGGAAGAAGAAATGAGATATGAGTGTGGAAGAAGAAATGAGATATGAGTAGTGACTATAAAAATAAATCCAATGCAAAGTACTCCAATGCAAAAAGAATCTAATGCAAATTAGTTGTTTATTCATTTGTCATTCAATGCAAAAAATCCAATGCAAAGTAATTCAATGCAAAAGAATTTAGTGCAAATTAATTGTTTATTCATTTGTCATCAAACGCGAAATAATCTGATGCAAAGTAATCTAATGCAAATTAATTGTTTATTAACATGCAAAAGAATCCAGAAAGAATCCAATGATTAGATGAATCATTTCTCATTGTCCAAAAATATTGTAAAGTAATAATGTTTCACATGGCCTTGTCCGAAAATGTTGCACTTGTCATTGTGTTGGTCAAATTTGTTCAATTCATATGGTCTTATCCGAAAAGAATCCAATGGTTAAATGTACCATTTGTCATTGTCCAAAAATAATGTAAGGAAATAAAATTTCACATGACCTTGTCTGAAAATATTGCACTTGTCATTATTTTGGTCAAATTTGTTCACTTCACATGGTCTTGTCCGGAAAGAATCCAATGGTCAGATGAACCATTTGTCATTGTCCAAAATTAATGCAAAGAAATAATGTTTCATATGGCTTTGTCTAAAAAAAATCCAATTAAGAAAATATTTGTTTCTTTTATTCATTCATTCGTCTATATAAACATAAAACTATATACATCATGCCATCCAACCTACATATTACATTCATTGTTGGATATTCTGTAATATTTCACTCTAATATCATTCACAATAAATTATCTTCCTCCCTATAATTAGGATTGTGATGAGGAAATACAAATATCTCATTACCTCTTTTTTATAATACTTTGGAAACAACTACCGATCATATATTGCAAACAAAACCATATTTTGAAGTACTATATTGTAAGTAGAATACAAAGATTGTATATTGATCTAATAAAACCTTTTAAAGTTTAAACTAAAATAGAACTAGTAATTTTTACTAATAGAATTCAAAGAAGTTTGAGTATTTTTAAGTAATACTACAAACTTTTGTAATACTTAATTCAAATCCAATTTTTTTTTTTTAAAAAAAAAATCTATTTACAATATTTATATTCTTTTAAATATTATTAGTTCTATTTTAGTTGTACCATGTTTCTAATAATAAAATTTATAATTTATTTTTCTTTTACTTAAAATACAATACTTAGACATATGATATTTTTAATTGCTAACTATAAGAAGTTGGCTACAATATGACGCCAACAATTGATTTCAATATAGCAAAAATACAAATACGAGATCAGAATTTACTTGATATCACTACAAAAAAAACTCTTAAATTCCAACGAAAATTTTCCGTTGGAATTCTTTATATTTTCCGTTGGAATAGCTATTCCAATGGATATTCCTACGTATAAAAATTCGTGGGAAAAACGGCCATTGGAATAACTAAAATCCAACGGAAAATCCTATGGAAATAAATTCCTTTAGTTATTCCAACGTAAAAAATCCGTTGAAATTCTTCAACCATCCAACACTTATTCCAACATAAAATTAAATTTGTTGGAATATTCATTGGAATTTCCAACATAAATTTTTGCCGTTAGAATTTTTCGTTGGAATTGAAGTGGTTTCTTGTAGTGTATATATTTTCTGAGTTAAGCTAACTTTGAACTAATTAAACTCAATTTTTTTTTTCAAAAAATTAAAACTTCAGTCACCCTTAACTGATTGTAAGATTTTTTTTATTTTCATATTTTATAATTTTTATTTATTTTTTGAAAAAATGGAACATAAAATTAGAAGAAAATATTTTTTCTTTTAACATACAACCAATTCAAAACACATTTTTATTCGAATATCGATTTTATATATCCAGACTTGTGAAAGTTAGTGCATGTTTGCATATAAAAGTACCAACAAAGAAATTTAATCTTAATTCAAATCTAACTCAAGTTTTACTCAACCTTATAATTTT